GCAGGCACAGAAGGAAGCCCATGTGAGGACACAGTGAGAAGGTAGCCTTCTGCAACCCAAAAGAAAGGTCTCACCAGAGACCAGATACCAACTCTGCCATCGCCTTGCTATTGGACGTGAAGCCTCTAGCACTGTTAAAAAATAAATGTCTATGGTTGAAGCCATGCAGTCTGTGATATTCTGTTACTGGGGAGGAAGAAATTTTCCTCTGTCCAAGATTTTTTGTCTGGACTATTAAATTTGCATGAAACACATTACCAGGAGAAAATCAAATTTAGTGTCCTACGTATAAGGAATCCACAAAGACATGAAATTCCAAAGACAGGCAACAGGAGGCTTACCTGACATCCTGGGCCAAGGAGAGGAGTAGGAGTCTCAAAGAGGAGGAAGATCATTACCAGATCTGTAAGAGATGTCTGGGAAAAAAAAAAAAAAAAAAAAAAAAAAAAAAAAAAAAAGGCTGCCCTGTTATACAGTTAAGTTTCTTAGGTGAAAAGGAATCTCTGTTAATAGCTCTCTTTCTGATATAGGTTCTCCTTTACAATGTAAATTGAGGTAGCTGAAGGGGAAGTTAAAAGCTTTTCCTGAATTAGTTGGGTTTTGATTGCATTTTACTCAAAATAGTCTTCATGTCTAAATGATCCATATTGGGGCAGCCTACCCTTGGCCCCCACACATGTGTCACGGTAGCCCTTACACACTAATATATGTACAGCCTTATCCAAAGGACTGCATAAAGTGGTGGAAATTTCAGATATCCTCAAAGACAGGATAAATAGAACATACAAGTATGGTACATTTTATAAAGTCCTCAAATTAATCTGCATAAAGTCTTAACAGCATTTTTCTATTATCATAGTTAAAAATTCTGCTTAATTCCGGGGCACCTGGGTGCCTCAGTCGGTTAAATATCTGACTTCAGCTCAGGTCATGATCTCATGGCTTGTGAGTTGGAGCCCCGCGTTGGGCTCTGTTCTGACAGCTCAGAGCCTGGAGCCTGTTCTGGATTCTGTCTCCCTTTCTCTCTGCCCCGCCCCCGCTCACACTCTGTCTCTGTCTCTCTCAAAAATAAACATTAAAAAAAAAAAAAAA